TAATGACCACTTTATATTTAATTCACCAGACATTAGGAACAACATAATATTATTTTCAAATCTATTTTTGTTTGTAAATAAAAATGTTACTTTAATAAATCTAAACTCACGTTATGAAAATGATACAATATAATGAGTAAATTAAAAATAAAATAATAAATTAAAAAAAAAATATAACATAAATTGGTTTAAAATCATCTGTTGATATAAATCTGCAGATTTTTCTAAATTAATTATAATGTTGCGTCCACACTATCCACGAAACGATACATAAATGTCATCTTACTGTGAAAATAATTCCGCTAACGCCAGTAACTAAATATGGTAACATAAATTTCTTTAAGTTGGTACACGTGTTAGCACTATATGTAATTACATCTGTCAGTACAGTATCACCGTCATCGGACTCCCAAGATAACCAATGACTACTACAAGTTAGAAAACTAGATTATGATAAGAGTTACTGATTTATGTGTATTTATTTGAAGCGAAAGGATGTCGTTTCGGTTACCGGTAATTCGAGGACTAATCATTACGTGCACAACATCAAATTAACTAACTAGTTATGAGCCTTAACGAGCTTTAACGTCTTCATTACATAAGATATAGAGAGAGCGTAAGAAGTTTTTGAGGCACAAAACTTCCAACCAGAAGTTACTTAGCATCGGTGCATATTTAGATTTATTAAGTTAGCTTCCGCCGTCTCGTTTAGAAGGGACCTCATGAATGAGCAGAAGAGTCATCAAGAAAAAAAAAATATGAAGAAAATACCGACGTGAGGACCTCATTCTAATCCGGGCAGATAGTGAGGATGAAATACGCGACGCGGCGCACTTACATAATCTCCCAAACAAATTTCGACATAATTTACGGCCCATTCCGTGTGTATAAATAGGCTAAACACAAGCGATATTTCATATTGTTGCCCTTTTTCCTTTCGATGTTATTTCCACTTTTTTTTTTCATTACATTCTTTTTTCACCCCAGTCGGCAATTTATTTTTTTTAACCGACAAAAATAATTTATGTGAAATATCAATCAGAGATGATTTCCACTGGAGGAGGAATGCCGTTCCATATTTCTCGCCTCCGAATCTGGATAAGTAATTACGCCCGCGCAATTATTATTACGCCAGTTTCATAACCGCCGTTTCATTAATAATCCCAGTATGCTTATGTTTTCGTTTTTAAATGTTGCTTTTGTCTCAAATTGCTTGGGATTTAAAGAAATAAAACAATCAGTTACACTGTCAAACCAACTATTTGTTATTGCTTAAAACGCATTATATATTGTTAAACTTGATATGAAATATTACATAAGTTGTAAAATTAAAGAAATTTGAGCAGTATGTACGCACCTAAATAAATTAATGATTGCTAAAGTGATTCGCTCATCTCTTAATTAGCATACTAATTACAATCGATTCACGGTAAATTAATTTGCGACAAAGCGACTAATAAAGCCCGCAGATAAAAGTTTCTTTGAAGTGTCAGTTTATGACGTGATGCTCGCAAATCGTTTACATTTAGAGCTTCTAAAGGTACGTACACATTACGCTGTATTTGACAAGTTAATTATAAAGTAACGAATTGAACCATACTAAATTCAGAGAAATATGATTGGGATAAATTCCATATAAACACTACAAATACATCTGTCAATTCAGTTTGACATGTGATTTATCACAATTATTAAACATGTCAAAGGTACAGGGAATACCTCGCATAGTGCGGATAATCGGTTCCGCCAATATTCCGTACTCGAGGAACTAAATACAGTCGATTCCGCTTAATAGGGACATCGATTAATCGGGACAGGGACCGGGATACAAAACCGAACAAATATTTGGAATTTCGGATTATTGGGCCAGCCTCTTAATATACCAGCCCCGATGTGTCCGGATTAAACGGAATCGACTGTACATACAAAAAAAAAACGGAAAATTTACCTAACAACATGTAATAACATAATATTTGCCAACACGATCCGCTTAAGTTTCAATTACCGTATTAATTACAATCGATTCGCCAATTAATTAACGACAAGGCGAGTAATGAGCCGTGAAAGCAGTGAGACAAAGTGTCTTTGAAATGTCATTTGTATGACGTGACGTCAAATAGAATTTGATATTTTCGCATCGAACAGATAAAATCCGGTGTGATGCTTCGAACAAACATGTATCCGCGATTTGGATTACGTGTGGCCGCATCACCTGATTAATCCACGACACCATTTTGTTGCCATTGAGGGATCGAATGTTGGCTTCGCGTTTTGCAAACAGCAGATAAGATAAAATTACATCGTGCTGTTGTAACTGAATACACACAATTTTACGTGACCTCAAAAAGGAAATTATATACCAGTTATTATTAGTAGACGTTGTAGAAAAAAAGGATAATACGAAGACTGAATGTAAATCAAATTTCAACGAGATTCTCGGATAACCCAGACGATCTAATTAACTCATATCCTGGATCTAGTCACTACACATCATCTATATATCAAATTAAATTATCCTTGGATTAGTATAATAAAATATTATAAGATTTAGTTTTCAGTTAGTATACTTATATAGTTTTACTAGAGTTAAAACCTAGTTAAATATACTTGTTTTTTCGTATTTTTATCAATAACTATTACAATTTTTCAATAAGTATCATCAAGATTTCAACCCAAGTTTATGTGATGATTAATTTATGATATTTATTTTCTAATTGGAACTACTTGATAGATTTAAAAGAGTCAAATGGATGAAGTATGTTGAGTTGAAAAACACCGGTATATTTTCAAACTTAATTAGTACTAATTAAAATAATACAGGTATTTGGCTACTCGCCTAATACTAATTAAAATATAATTTCTATATTTTAAAATAAGCTTGTGTTATTGGACCGCGACAAGAGGTTGAGGCGAGCGAATCAAACGGAAATTGGGTCTCCGTCCGTCGGCAGGATTCAATTAGTCGTTTATTAATTTTCTAAATCGTTTCTAATTGGAATCGATTCAGTTTAATTAAAGCGTGATCGCGAACAAAATCAGCTGAGCGAATTTCAATTGGTTTCGGTCAATAAATCCGCGAAACCGCTCTAAATCACAAGAACAAAGTGCAACGCAACCCGCGGTGTCAATGTCAAAACGCGAATTATTGCAACGCCGCACGAAATTCCAATTAAATTTGCCTACATTGATTTTCGATCAATTGAATGCACAAAAGCGGGGAAACGCGTGAAAGGAAACGAACGCTGCCTGCGACGAGTGCGTTACGCAAAACCAACGTTTAATTGTATCGCCTGTGGTAGAACAAACGTTACTTTTGTTGCCTTCAAAGCATTCAGATTGATTGGAAATCAATAAAAAGTTTGGTTGATTTTGAAATGGAATTGTTTGACTTTAAGTTTAATTAGTCATAAATTGTTCATTTCGTTTGCACAATTTATTTAAGTTACACCAATATGAATTCACTAATTTAATCATGTTATATAAGATTTAATCAATGTATGATGTATGAAGTTATATAAGTTAGTAAGAAATTAAAATATTTTAACCACGATATATAAGTCAATGTCAATGTAACATAGATTTTATGTATACATATATAAAAGTTCAATCAGAAGAAAATAATCAATGTTTACTTATAGATAATAAAAGTAATCGTATACAATCGATTCTCGTGTCTTAAGTACATTAAGATATGTTGATTGTATAAATTATATGATAATTACATTAATATAAGTACTAAACCATTTACAAACATATTTTGAACTTGTTAATTAACTTACAAAAAGATATATTTAGTCAAGTCACTAACCTTTTTAAGAATAAATATTATTCTCTTCATTTTGTTAAAGTCTCAAAAAATTCCACAGAAACAAAAATAGAACGTTTTTTTTCATTTAAAGAACATACATTAATTTTCTACAAAAATATTAAAATGTATAGTTCCTTCCTTTTCATTATTTGATCTATTAGTAAGAAATAAAATGCATATTTTGAAATTACTGAAAGTTTTGAATTTTATTGATAAAGTATAAAAAATAGAAGTAATTGGGGCAGAAAGACTTATGGTCAATAGCCCTTTGTAATAGTTAATCTTTTGTTTTACTATTATTATTGATGTGAATGAAAATGTTTAATTTTGTTTTTGACTACAATAAATATTATTATTAGAAGTAATTTTAATTTATTAACTATTTAGAGACATTAATTTGGTTATAAATTAATTTCAAATTTGTCACTATTACAATTTTCTTCAATACACAAAAGTATGAATTATAAGAATATTAAATAAAATGCGTGTACAAAGATATTATAAAATTATACATAAAAATATGTCAATAGAAATTTAGATTTGTTATTTATCAGAAATACAAAATATTATTAAAACAATTAATATATGATTTTTACAGTTTTAAAAAAGTGAAATGAGCATAAATTAACTTAATTGCCTCAGAAGCAATATTGATCATTTTATAACTGTCAAATATATAATTATTGAATGCTATATGTGGCTTTTCCCTATCATTGCGCAATTTTAGACCTAATGAAGCGTTTACAGTGTTCCACAATAGTCAGATAATTTAATGTTGGTTGAACAAAACGGCGGCAAATACCAATGGGACATTTCGAACGATATTTTCTAATTCTTCTAATTTGTGCCGTGTGTTCGGTGCGTAGTTTATGGATCGGCGTTTCGGTTCGCCGTGTAATTTACGGCCGCTGCGGCAGCAATAACAAGACCACCTTGTACCTAGGGCTTGTATACCGTTAGGGACGTATCGAATTTCCAGGTCACAATACGAATTTCGAGGGGCAGCAGCAGCAGCCTCCTCGCTTCAGCTCCTTATAGACGAACGTCGACAACAACACAACTACAATTCACCTCCGCTACCTACTGCTAATGGCTATAAACCAAACTCTTCTGTTCATTCTCATAATTTGTTTTTTTCTCTCTTTCTTTCCCCAATTTATGTTTTTTTCCATCTACGTGTGCGCGCCTCCAGTGGAAATCGAGGTGGTGCGTTATGACCAAGCTATCCCCGGTTGCAGGTAATTTATTTCACATATTTCTATTAATAATAGTTATAGACTGGACGATGGCATTCAGGGTTTGGTTGGTAGGTAGAGAAAAAGCTGCTCGGCTTATTCTTCTCCCTTTTTTTTCCAACCATCTGATAAAATTTTATCATCGCTGATAGCATTTCAGATATGGTCCGACAACTAACAGAAATAGTGTGTTTTCTTACCCTTAACAATCCTTTTTTATCAGTGACAGATTTATTCCACCTTTTTGACAGATATATTCAATTCAAATCCATTTACTTTAATAGCTATTCCCATTATAAGTAATGAAATTTGTCTCATTTATTCACAGTTATTAACTGACAAATTTACTGACATCTTAGTATTAGAAAGATTCCAAACATTTTATTTAATATTTAATGATTCTAATCAAATGTTATTTATTCTTATTTTATTCATTCTATTTTTACTTTTATAGTTTTAAAACTATATTATTATTTTTGTATTTACTGTTCATTTCTTATTTTAACATTTATATAATGTATTTTCTATAATGAAATTTGTCAGACACATTTTTTTTTTCACTGTTAAATCGACAAACTAAATAAAATACTTTTGATTTAATACACAAGATTTCAAAGCAAATTTATTCATAGTTTATTGTAAATTAGATAAAAATAGTTAAAACAAGATATTATTACTTATTTTGAACATTAAAATCAAATGAAATCAATGGACAATTTTTATTACTCATGTCAAAAAATTGTACAATCACCATTTGTACCATTTTATCCGATTTTCCGACATAACTTTATTAAAATAATTTGAAGCATGAAATTCGTTATTCCGACAAAATATTTTCATTATTATCAAAAAATCAATTAAAAACTATTTAAACAAACATTTAATTATACAATCAATATGAAAAAAAATAAATTACACAAAATATTAATAACTAACACGTTTGTCATTTTGATAACTTAAATTTAAAAAAATCAATTAACTTATTCATTTATCTTTTACACTAAACATTTATTCTTGATATAAATATAATCATTTTCCTGTACTTTAATTACTATTAAGGCTTTAGATGTGAATAATATATCCACAGTGTAATGACTTCAATTGTTTCCAAACTATAAGACAAAAAAGAAACAAATAATAATGGAACACCCCCTTTGTTGCACCGCAGTTATAATTATTATGTATCTAGTGACAAAGTGAAAACAAAAGGAAACAAATGAAAACGTACGGTGGGACAATATGCAAATGAAAATGATTAATTCAACAGCGCAAACGTATATGATTCTCTCTTTTTTTTTGTCTCCCTCTCTCTGTGCGATTCATGTGAAACCTTTATTACTTTATCCGTCTCCATATTCGTTATGACATTTACCACAATTTATTTACATCGTTTATATGCTTTCGTTAAATATTTATATCAGTCACAATTTAATCAAGATTTTTTTTCAAATTATCTTAATTTTTAAGGTAATTCTAACGAACTGTATATTTATTTTGAGCTAGTTGAGCGTTTAAACTCTTCTACTAAACCAAGCTTTTTTGAACGATACGAATACTTAAGTTTTTATAGTTAAGCAAGGGATGATAAAGTGATATAGATGATAGAAAGGAATTCTACTGGAACGGAAGCGATTTGTTGCAGTAATAAGTTTTATTACGAAACATAATTCATGGTTCAAATGATAAGTGTAAAGTTAAAAAAAACTCTGACAATTCTTCTTTAAAAAAAAATGTATATAAAACATATTGCTTGCACGTGATATTCAATTTTAAGCATTTTTTTGAATGCTTCATTTATATAAGAATGTCAATGTCATTTTGCTTGCAGTGTGTTTTTCTACGAAATTGTACGTAATTTTGAATACGGGAAAAACGTTGACGTAATATCGAAGTAACAATGAGGGAAAAATGCTTGGTAATAGTTCGATCATTCATTTTGATAGATAGTAAATTTATTGGAAATGATGCAATATGGCGTTTCCGGAAAGCAGATGTAATTTAGTAACAAATAACATCAGGAATGCCTAGAAATCGGAAGCTTATTTGACAGCTGCAGTTCGGCGTTTTTGCACCATTCGTTTAATTAAATTGCATAAGGATCCCGTTGTGCAATGAAACGAAATTCTTCTAAATTGCGTCCATTCGAGGATGCTACGTTGAAATGCACACGCGAAACTCTAGCCGCAACCCTCTGGCACACCGATGACAGCCAGGGCAGCCACCCCATTCATCATCATCGCACCACCCCTTAGGATAGACAACGCAAAGAGAGAGAGAGAGACTGACAGCAATTATTTTCCCTCTTCGACATACACACATTTTTTTTCTGTCACCCCAGACCTTTTTATTTTTATTTCATATTTTTTTTCGTATCCACACCAAGACAGTTCGAGACTTCTTCGAGTTTGTCAGGGGGACACGTGTGTGTGTGTGTATGAGCTCAATTAAAAAATAATTACCCCCATCCTCCCCGCAAGAATAACACGGCGCAATGGAAATTTAGGGACCCTTATTATTTTGAATATTAAAAATGATTACTCAGTTCTTTAACGAACGGAAGAAGCTCCGTAACGATCAGCTGTAATCCATCTCAAAACTGTCAGTCCCTTAATTATTACATAATCACATTTGATTGAAAGTTATATCTGTGATCAAAGATATAAATTACACAAATTTTGTTTTTATGAATATGTATTTATTCATTCAGTTTAAAATTAAAGTTAACTAGCGATACTAATATTCGGATAACGAACAGCTTACCAACAGTCTGACGTTACGTTTGGGAGTTAACGCTAATGGTGATATTAAGCTTAAATCGATGATGATTATGAACATTTCGGATAACGAACATTGTTTTTGACCGGATTATGTTCGTCAACCGATCATATTTAATCAAAAGTAATATAGAAACAGATCACATTTATAAGTTACATAAAAAAATGAATGTAAAAGCAGTAAGAAAAATTGAAAAACTACGTATTTAATATCGTTAAGTTCACACCGTAATATTGTGTAGAAGTAAAGTTAGCCCGAACTGCGAGTATCAGAATTGAATGCGAGAATCCTCGTGAGATACGTTTTATTTTGCCGGCATCAAAGCAGCTCTCGGTCTAAGTAAGAGGAGATGAAGTGAATATATTTATTAAGTTTTTAAGAGACTTACGGAGAGAGAAATCCATAAGAGATGAGAGAAAGAGGGACAAAACAAGGAGAGCAAAAAAAATGAGAGAGAGAAAGAAAGAGAAGAATAAGGAGCGCCTCTTTCTTGGCAACTCGGAGAGTCGAGCGAGCGCAATCTTATTTATATGAATCCGCGAAGGGGCGAAGTTTCTTGCATTCGTAAAAATAAGGGAAAGTTTCTTCTTTGGAGTGCTCGAAATGTAGATTGATTTTATCGTGTGCACGTGAACAGCTTCTTCCTCTTCCAACACATACATAGCCACAGCCACACACAAAACAGGAATCAAAAAGCTATTAGCTATATGCACAAACCGAGAGCTTTTTTCAATTACTTAATACATTCCATCTCTATCAGTATATATTTTTTTTATTCTGTTTATTTCTTTTTTGCTTCACAATTGTTCAACCCCGACGTCACGAAATATATCATTTAAGCCCACCCAAATAGGATTTGATCTGGGGATTCCCGGAATTGATTCGTGATGGGCCAACAGATCCAATAAAATATTAGATTATGCCATCCTTTTACGGTTTGATTTACCATCTGGGTGGTCAATACGATGGATGAATAAAATGATAATCTTTTTCGTTTTTTTTTTCTTTTCGAGGGTGGATGAACGAGATTATTTTATGTTTCGATCTAGATTCGAGATTCGACTGGTTTCGGATCGCACGCTGCGCTACTCTACGTCCGACGATTTTCACACAACAATTAATTGCTACCTATTACTGAACGGACTTGAACTTTGTTCATCGTAAATCATTGAACTGCTCCAGTTACACACGCTCATCTTCGAGGAAATTAACATCTCTTTGGCATCTGTCAAAATATTACCATAACACATTTCCATCAAGATTAATCGTTTATTCTGGCTCTCTTTTTTTTATCTTGGTTTGCTTCAAAATCCCCAATCTCCATGATTGATATTCATATACTTAGTTAAAATTTGATACATTCAGAAGTGATTTTTTAATTTAAACATTCTGTTTACTGTGGTGCAAATATATTTCCAAATATTATTTTCATTATGAATGTTTTTTAGACAAAGTTGCGCGGATGTAGAAGAAATCGTATTGGGGTTTCAAAGATGGCGTTTTATTAACTACATCACATCGCTTACACTTCTCTACTTAATACCTTATACTCAACTAATACTCTTCTACTACTCTCTAACTAATGTTTAATAAAGTTCTCCTCCATACTTAACTCCTCCGAGCTATGCGTTCCTCGCTAACTTCATGGTGTGCATTTTTGCCACCACTGTTGGGCTCAACCAATTAATGTATATATTGATCATAGGAACTACCATTTTTTATAAGAAATTCACGTTTAATTATATTATGTGTTATTTCAATTATATTTTAGTGATACAATCAAATTTCACTTTAATAGAAGTGTATAAATCTAAATCGCAATTATTATATGTAAAAGTAAAATGAAAGTACAAAATATACATAATAATTGAATTTGTTTACGAAATGTGTAATCGATTAAAGAAGCCATATAAATAAACATTGTTTTGTTAGAAGACTTAACTAAGTTTCTTGTATCTGCGTTTACTTAGACTTATAAGCTTGTTTTACAAGGACTTGTACAAGTTATTCACTCCAATATTAATTATATTTAAACGATCGTACTACAAGTTACACAAGTAGTGGGTTCTCACCTTTAAAAGCTTGCATATAGATAAGTGTTTTGATATGTGTAACACGTTTCAGAATGTGATGGTTATAATTAAATAATATAATTAACGAGTGGCGGGAAGAACTGATGAATATGGTCGAAGTGACAAAAATGAAATAATAATGCTTTGCGATGTAGT